ATGAACCAAGTTCGACAACCACTGAATGTCATTCTTCGACTAATGATTTTGATTGCGCCTTTGTGTCTTTGTTTTTACTTTCAGGAATCGAACACCATTGACCAAACAAATCATGATATATTCTATAAAGCGCACGAAACTAAAAAAAAGTCTTTACATTATACTTTTTAAAACTGACCATCATATCGTTAGTTTATTTGGTTGCAGCAAAATGGCACCGTTATTGCTTTTTTGTTTGTATAGTTTTTATATTTTGTTTTGACAGATACGCACTCGTCCCTACATTCACAATGCAACTATTGAACATTTACTTTTAACAAAGACGTTCTATAGAAAATTTTCCAAGAAACGTATCAACGTGTTAGCTTGTTTTAAGCCATTTCGAATCAAAACATGGAGTCATGACTATTTTCACTCCCCATTAAAATAATGACAAAAACAATTCGAATTTCTGGGCAAAAAGGAACATGAGAAAACAAGAATGTGTCCATAGTACACGGATGCCCCACTCGCACTATCATTTTCAATGTTCAGTGGACCGTGAAATTGGGGTCAAAACTCTAATTTGGCATTAAAATTAGAAAGATCATATCATAGGGAACATGTGTACTAAGTTTCAAGTTGATTGGACTTCAACTTTATCAAAAACTACCTTGACCAAAAACTTTAACCTGAAGCGGGACAGATGGACGAACGGACGAACGAACGGACGCACAGACCGAAAAACATACTGCCCCTAGGTGGGGCATAAAAATTATGAAGAAAAAATTAGAATGATGTTCATTGTAGTAAATAACAAATTAAGGGATTGTCTATTTAAATCTTTCTTTTTGACTTGATAAGGCATTATAATTGTGTTCCAGATTACAGCAAACTAACAAATAAAACTCACAAAAAGCGCCGTAGTAACAATTGCATGTCATACAAGGGCAATTACTCCTATAAAGAATCGATTGACGGTTTTGGCCATGTTGAACTTTTTGTAGATTTCATTGCCTTCAGTTATAGTTTCTCTGCAATTTCTATCCTATTTTTGACAAAAATGCAAAAAAAAAAATGCTAAAGATCGTTATCCAAGAGTAGTAACTCCAATAAGGAGTTGGTGGACAATTCAAGGTGATCATGTTTCCGTATTTGTAGATCTTATTTAATGATCGTTTCGGCAGTTTTCTTTTATCTCCCACAATCGAATCCCCTTATCTATTATAGTTTCTTCAGAAAATGCGAAAATGGGAAAAATCGTCTTTGAAGGACAATACTGAACTCCTACAAAGAATTTACTGATAATTTTAGCCTTGATTTATTGTAGATCTTTTATAATTGATCATATTTGCTGTTCACAGTATCTCTCTTTAAACTATAGATTTCAAGATTATAGTCAAAAGTACAAAAAAAAATGATTAAAAATTGTCATTCCTATCAGGAGTCGACTGCAGATTTCAGCCAAGTTGGCTGATAATTTGTTGCCTTTTAAGATTTCTCGCTATCTATTTATGTTTCTGCAAAAAACGGAAAAAAATCGGTAAAAATAGCCTTTAAACGGCAATAACTCCTATAAGAGGCCAAAAAAGAGAGGTGAAAGATACCAAAGGGACATTCAAACTCATAAGTCGAAAATAAACTGACAACGCCATGACTAAAAAAGAAAAAGACCAACAGACAAACAACAGTACACAAAACACTACATAGAAAACTAAAGACTGACCAACACGAACCCCACCAAAAACTGGGTGTGATCTCAGGTGCTCCGGAAGGGTAAGCAGATCGTGCTCCACATGTGGCACCCTTCGTGTTGCTTATGTTAAAGTTCACAATTGGGAAGCTGAAGCTCTTTTGTCGTGAAGTTTTGTTTTCAACCGAATTGACGATTTCGGCGTAATCGATCTTATTTTGTTGACCATATTTGCTAACGAAGATTCTTTCTATCTATTATAGTTTCTACTAAAAATGTAAAATGGAGGGTAAATATCAATTACCTTATAATTTCAGCCATGTTGACATATGTGTAGATCTAAATGTTCTTGACTTTTTTTCTATATGTATATATACAAATTCTCTCTGTCTATAATATTTTTCAGAGAGGCTGATCCTGGGGGGAAGGGGGTCCGGGGTTAGAGGCAATGTTACTGAAAATTTCATGGTAGATAGAAATTGACCTGATGATCATTTTAAGCTGTCAGTCCAGTTTTGCCTTTGATTTTTAATGTAAGCTTAAGGAAGTATGTAAAAATCTACAATTAAATTAACAAGAGATGAGATTTTTTGTAACTCATTAGAAAAAATAAGGACAATTTTTTTTTCTCCTAAACAATTTCAGTTTTTCTTTGTAAACCTCCATGATGGGTCAGGACAATGGCATCTATGCTTCCAATAATATGACCTAACCAATCACTGCATCTGAAATTAATGGTTTATTGTGTAAAATCATTTAAACAACATGTGGTATAAATGATTTTTAACTACCTAGCTGAGCATTTTATGCAAGTGACCAACACATGAAGAAATTTAAATTATAGAACATGCTTGGTCCAAATTTTCCAGATTTACCTTAATCAGGAATGCTTTAACCCCAGATATTGAAATCCAAGGATGTATGTGTACTCGAACACATGAGGAGCTATCTGACCAAAAAGGACCTAAAAATAAAAGTCAAAACCATAATGTTGATTGACTGAAGGAGTAGGAACCTTAGTTTTATAAATAATTCAAATTTTTTCGACAGAGAATTCAAGGTAGATTAATTGTCTTGGATTGTAAAATAGCAGTACTCAATCGGTATAGTTTTTTGCTTAAATCTGCAAATATTTAGACAGATTGGCAATGAATGTGTAAGACTGTTCATCTAAATAAAGAAAATAAGTGATTTATTGCATTATTTAGACCGTTTTACCAAATACTAAATATTTGTTTTTGTTTCATTAAATTTTTCAACTTAGCCATAAAAGGGGTGATAACTCTTAGAGTAAAATTTTATTCTGGAATGTTAAGAGAAATTTTCATTTTTTACTGTTCTGTTACACCATTTTTCTTTTCATTTTCTTAAAACATATTATATAAAACCTATCAAAATTCTATCTCATAGATTTCTTTTTATTAACAAATTTTTTTTTCATGAATAATCTATGCAAAATTAGGCAATTTTGGATGACTTGTAACTTGAAAAATAGCACGGTGACCAATACTTTTGATTAGATTTTTTTTTAAACAGCATGGCAAAATTTCCATTTTGACAAAGTATAAAAAAATTCTATTTGAAATATATAGTGATGATCCTTAAGAAAGGTATGAACCCACTGCAAATGTTTGCACCTGTCCTAAGTCAGGAATCTGATGTTCAGTAGTTGTTGTTTGTTAATGTGGTTCATAAGTGTTTCTCGTTTCTCGTTTTTTTATATAGATCAGACCGTTGGTTTTCCCGTTTGAATGGTTTTACACTAGTAATTTTTGGGGCCCTTTATAGCTTGCTGTTCGGTGTGAGCCAAGGCTCCGTGTTGAAGACCATACTTTGACCTATAATGGTTTACTTTTATAAATTTTGACTTGGATGGAGAGTTGTCTCATTGGCACTCATACCACATCTTCTGATATCTATGAAGTGATATAAAATGAATCATGACAGTACCCAAACACTGGCTACTGAGCTGATGATACCCTTTGGGACTAACAGTCTACCAGCAGCAGTATCAACTTGGTGCCAGTAAATGTTAATATCACTTTATAAGTTTCCTGCTTCAGAAGTGCTTTTCTACATTAACCATCATCAAGAAAGCTCAAAGCCAAACATTTGAAAGCCAGGGATAATAAATACAGGAAAAAGTCAGGACCTATCATAACCTAAAGAGAATAGCCAAATTCATCTACGGTCAACTTTGCTTGAGGAAGTTGAAACCTTAGGATGTCCATGATAGTTAATCCACATCTTGTCTGGATTAATTGTTGCAGGATTAACTGATTTTCTGGTACTTTTTAAAACTAAATTCATTAATTTAAATAAACACCTCTTTATGTGACTTTCTCCAATAAGTTGAATATGGTATAGATAAAACACGTCTTCCCCTAATTTAGTAATTCCTCTATAATGAAACAGTTCACATTTATCAAAGACTGTTTTGTTTCCAACAGTTTATTTAATATTTTTACTGTTAATAATCTAGTTTTGTTTTGTTTGTTGGTTTTGCTGTTTTTTTTGTAACATTGGATGTTTTTTGGATTTGTCAATGCTAACAAAGACAATCGTCATATAAAGTAATTTGTGTTTGATTCCAAATGATGATTCTAAAGTCAAGGAAGTGTTGAAAATTGTGAATATGAATTATACACTGTTGACACAGAGGTATGTCTCGCCTGTATGTAATTTGATAGTAAAATGCAAATGTTGAAATTAAAACAACAATACTTAAACAAGCAAATTATTCAAAGTCAATAGACCATGACTGAAGGTAGTGCCAAATAATTTCTGTGGAAATAAGATATAACTGCATACCAAATATCATATGTGATTCCCCATAAACTGACCTAATTACAAACATTGACATATAAACTATGCAAAAGATTCAAAAGCCAATGGACCATGACTGAGGGAGCAGGGCTAGATATGCAGCTTATAATACTGCATACCAAATATCATTGAATTACCAAAGTAATTCCCCATATACTAACCTAATCACTAACTTATCAAGTTGTTGACACCACCGCTGCCCAACACAGCATACCTAAATCTCGCTTTTTGTCCAAGTCAAGGTGAGACAAAAACTTCCAATTTTTTTTTCATTATTCACTTTTGATGTTAACAAAAGAACTTGGGTGCTTCAAAAATACATCCATAAGCAATGACAAGAAATTCATAATAAAATTGACAATGGAAATGGGGAATGTGTCAAAGAGACAACAACCCTACCAAAGAGCAGAAAACAGTGATACATGTATATTGATTCCTGTTATTTCAAATTTTTTTCTCAGTCTTTTCAACTTTGCATTCAAGTAAAAGAAAAACAAGAAAATCAAGTTTTTATGTGTTTTTATTCATTACAGTGGCATGTTCTTTTCATACATATAAACTGGTTTAATTAATGATTGAGACAAAAGACAAAGAGTGAAGTCAGTATGAGCCTCAATCTCGTTGTGTGAGATCTCATGAGATATGGTGAGCTACTGTCACACAAACTGGTATGTCTCAAAGTAAAACTTTCGACAATTTAACCTCAAGAAAATACACGTTATCTAATGACATCTAAATAGTTTAAACAATGCATGAAAATTATACACTGAACTACAATGAAAATCGAATGCTATTGAACAATAGATCTGGATGTATATTAAAATCTATTCAAAAACTGACAAGAAATTTATAACATATGGATTTCAAATACATTGAACTGTTCCTCAATACTCCAGTATCAAAGGGGAGATAACCACCATATAAATACTGGAGCATGAATGATTTAACCTGTAAATAAATATATACATTTACATAAAAATTCACATTTTAAGTAAAAAACTTGGACCAGCCAAATTTTTATCACTGATTATTATGATATGGTTTAATTAAAGCAATTCAGCAAGTCTGAAAGTAAAAATGGTGATCAAATTCATAGCTGTTAGGAAACTTGACAAGTTTACGGTTGAATATGACAAAAATCAATGTGAAAGTAATCTGCTCTGAACCAACCAATGATAAAATTTGTCAATATAATAAAGTCCTAAACATTACTAAGATCTGTCACAATTTCAGATCATAAATAAAATTCTAACATTCTACAAACAAAACATTTCTTTTTTATTTGCCTGCCTGCTTACACAAGATATCTTAGATACATTTATAAATTTTAAGGAAGGACCTGTGTATCTATTGCTTTAATAACAAAAAGAAAGGGATATGGTGTAATGGTTCATGACACATAATCCCTTTTAACACTTGAGAAAACCCAAAGCAAGGGAACAGTACTATATTTGTTATTCTTCATCTCAAAGTCACAGCAAGGACTTCAACATGGAGTAAAAGCTCACAATATCTTTTCAAAGTATCAGTAATGCCATTTTTCAAGTGTTAGTCAAGTAAAAGTTATGGCAATAAAAGAAAATATATTAAAAATTGGACATCACTATGTATATATTGTCTGATCTATTTACGGTAATGGTTGTTCAGGAATCTGCAACATTTCTCTTATGACATGACAATCTAATGGGAACATCTATGATGTCTAGTAATGGCAGACAGATGAGGATAATATATAGTATAGACATTCTACCATACAAACTGATTACCGGTATATACTTTTTTCATAAGTTTGGGGAGGAGATCATAAGTTAAATGAAGTCATGTGATCAATTTTGGATTAACATACGATCATGATCCAGATTCCTTAAACTGTATATTAAATTGCAATATTCATTTATGTTTATTATTAAAATTGATCTGAGATGTACCTACAATTCATACCATTTCAATTTAATATGTTTAGAAATGTGCCCTTTCATTCAAATTCCTTGCCAAGAGACATACCTTCACTAATAGAGATCAGTGAATTCTAAACAAAGTGAGATATGAAACAAACAATTTTTTCGCACAATGAAACATCTGATCTGCTATTAAAAAAAATCTAGTGTCCTTTAAGGGGGTACACATATAGTTTTGTTGAATTATATTCATTTTATCAAATTTTTGGGAATATTTCAGATACCAAATTCTTAATTATTACAAAATATTATCCAAATTGGACACAACATTTCATAAAAAAAAATCCAATACTCAAAACATATGATGAGATCTGTATTTAAAATGTGAGTCTGTGTTAACAAGATGTTTGAAAATCACGATGCTTTTAACAGTTTTGCTGACTAATCAAGAGTTATCTCCCATAAATGTAATGTACCCCCTTAAATACCATTTTTTCTCTCTCAATATATAAGTACAACCACCGATTTCAACAACATAATTTCAGACATTATCTATTATGCTTTAATAGTACACAATATGATAAGTTAAAAAAAATCTACACCATTGAAGAGTTGTGTAAAAAAACATATACATGTACAGCTCATGTCATACATTTTTTATAATACACTTGAATGTGAAACAAGCATCATTACCCTATAAATTATATGGATGTAGAAAAAAGCAATAATAACTTAATAACATAAACACATCAGAAAAAAAACCCTGGTCAACATTTATCAGTTATTTTGAGTTCAATAACTTATCATTCAACAAAATGTGGGACAATTGCAAATATTATGACAGCACAATTTTCATGTTGACTTTTATAATACACTATAATGTGGCCAATCGTCATTACCGTATAAGGTGTAAATAACACCATTCATAACTTAATAATAAGAAGATTCATTGATATTAAGTTTAATGTAACTGGGAGTTCAGAAATTTATCTTTCAACAAACTGAGCAGCAACAACCTACATTTGAAAAGATGTTAGTTATGAAAGCTCGTTTTCTAATATCTTGAACTATTGTTAGTAAAAGAGATCACTCTTAAACTAAGATTTTTAATGATATATTTTAACATTTGGTTTATTTTGACAATGATCCCAATGTAAGATACTCTTTTGGACCTATGAACCAAATATAAGACAGTCTTTTGAAATTTATGAAGCAAAAGTTAGATAGTCATTTAAAAACATCAACCAAGCATTAGATAGTCTTTTATTATGATACATCAAATGTAAAATAGTCTTTTGACATAATGACCCAAATGTGAAATAGTCTTTTTGTCTTAAGGCTAAAGCCCCCAATGCAAGATTGACATTATGACCCAAATGTGAAAATAGTCCTTTTGTCTTTAGGCAGAAGCCCCCCAATGCAAGATTGACATTATGACCTAAATGTGAAAATCTTTTTGTCTTTAGGCAGAAGTCCCCATGCATGATTGACATTATGGCCCAAATGTTAGACAGTCTTAAGTTTCTTGACATCTTGAACTAAATTTAAGATTGTCTACTGACAGTTTAATCCAAATGTAAGGGATAGTTTTTTAATATACACCTTTTATTAGATTGTAAAGGTTAAATACCTTTTTTACCAATATGCACGTATATATGAAAGTTACATTTTAGATTAAAATAAGATTGTCCATACTGTAAAGATATGTTTGCAGGCCTCTTACTAGGTTAATTTCAAACAGGGAAACAATATTAGCTTTTAAAACATCAAGACGGCAATTATTGTTCTACTGTTACTTTTCCAAACAATGAGTTCAGGAATAAATTTTAGTGGATGAAAGAAAATTGTGACTATAAAACAAAGAAAAATGTTGTCATCTTCTTTTTTAACGGGGTCTTGATTTATGAGTGACTGGATTATTATTTCTTTCACAAGTAAATTAATCTGAAGGTACCATCTTTCTTATTTTCATAAACATGATTTTTGTAACAGAAGATTGTCCTTAATGATTTAAAAAAGGAAGATAAACATACATTGCGAATTCTACCAAAGAAAGCAGCTTCTATGAATGCTACAAACAGAGTAAAACCTGAGGCATCTACAGTCATTTTTTATAAAGCACATTTTCTAAATGCACAGCTTCAAAAACTGTAATCTAAAATTTATCAATAAAGATAAAATGTAAATGTAGTATTATAGCTGAACAAAAATCTCAATCCATCACTAAGAACCTAACTATCTACTGCTAAAAATATTTACTACAGAATACGCAAAAATGGAATAAATAGTTATCTCCCTTAGCCAGCTCTTCACAGATGTGAGTTCACTAATCTAAAAGAAAAGTTAATACATGTAGTCAAAATGTACACGAATTAAGCATTAAATTCCTGAAGTATTTAGAATTTTTAAAAAATATTTAAAGTTGGGAATTGTTTTTAAAATCAAGGGACATAACTGTTACCTAAAAATTTCTAGCACTGTTTTTTTTCAAGCATTTTAACTGTATGCAGCATAAGGTATAAATTGAAAAATGAATTTGCAGCTGATACAATTACATGAATAATTTAGAATTTCATACAGATCTAGTATAGGCCAAAATAAAAAAAGATTTATTAACACCATAGGAAAGTAATGTAAACATTCTATAACCAGAAATCCTAGACTCACATTACTAGTAATTCATGACTTCATTTGGGACTAGTATATCACCACCTGTCTTACATCATTGTTATCATATATTGTGATATTCATTTCCTGTAGATCAGAAATTAATGCAATGTTTTAATGATGTGAAAAATATGAGTTTAGATAGCCTTCTTCAAAACCGAAATGTTCAAATAAAACATATTTCAATAACAGATTTCTATGATTCGCATTCATAAATTTCACACTTCAGTCAACTTTTTTAACCATACACATTGATAATTGCCTACAATAATTTCAGAGTAACTATAACTTTAATCTATATTTGATATTAATATGACAATAAAAACTATGCAATTTTCAAAGACTTTGTCTTTATTTACTCTACATTATAATTAAATCATTCTCACAGATTTTGAAATTGGGCAAACTAAATCGGTGAGTGTTGATAACAATTTGAATATAATTTCACCACATAGATAAATTCTACAATGCTTTTGCACAGTTATAAGTTGGAGGATAATTCACAGAACTTTGACCACTACATTATATAATCTATAGATAGTTTGCACACACACACATAGAACAGAGAGTGTTAGTGGACATATTGCCACAAGCTATTAACTATAATCTATATTGACTGCACAGACAAGACATCATGCCACGAGCTAATATTAAGCACTAGATAAGTGAGGTTGTTATTTATTGCACTTTGCCCATCATTATGCGACCATAATATTAGATGTTATGAAAATACTGAGCTGAGCAGTCAACAAGTATTTTCCAGATACATGTTTCATTAATAATTTTTTTTATAATTGATCTATTTTGTCTGTTCTAAGAGTTATTAAAAAGCGAAAAACTTTAAAAAAATAAGTAAGTATTAATAATTTTTTCAATACATGTATTTGAGAATTCCTGAAAATATTTGTACCTTGAAACCATTTTTTTAATTTCTGAAAAGCAATTTTTTCTTTGTAATAGTCATTTGAAATTTACAGTTGCACCATAGCATTGACAAAATCCAAAGTTTTTGTAATTTTGATATTAAACAGAGGTCACATTAGCAGAAATTTTTAGCAATATGGCTTAATTCTGGCATAATGTTAATGTTTATTGTTTCTAATATTGAATAAATAATTATTTAGAAAAAGCTTTCATATAATTTGTGTTCTTGAAAACTTGAAACATCATGAAATCATACAATTAATTGAGTATGATTAGTTTACAAAACTTGGAAACTTGTTTCTATTGAGAATTAGATACTAGTTCTTTCTGATCAGGAATGTCTATAACAGTATAGGCATTGTCTGTCATGTTAGTACTGTTAAATATTAGTAAATAAGTATTTTTACCAATTTATTAAAAAAAATTTCAGGGCCAACAAAGGTTAATCAATTTAAAAAAAATTTTATGTATGTTGTCGTGGAGTAATTTTTTTGTATTAAAACACTTCAATCTCTTGTGAAATAATACCAGTAGTTATGCAAGCAACAGGAGATCAGATTGAATAACATACAAAATGTGTAAATGAAAAATATCATTATACAATATTTGAGTCATTTTTTTTTTTAACACGACAGATTTTAATAAAATAAAACTGCTCAAGAGCCTACAAATATGTTGAAACTCTATTACATGGCAATTATTACTATCATGAAACAGATTTTTGTCAAGCTATTGAAATTTATCATAAAAAACTTTTTTTATACAGGTTACTTATTATGTTTGTCAAGCTCTTTTTTTAAAGATATTAATACAGTTTATAACCTATCAAAATTACTAACAAGCAAAATAGTTCATTGCACTTGTTTTCAAAATATAACTATATGAAAAGATTCATTTGAAAATGCAAAACTAATGTCAAGCCGTATAAACCACTGAAGAAGCCATAAAAATCTAAAAATCTTGAGTTATAATGTATTTACGAAACTATACGAAATATAGGGTATTAATTGCTTTGAAAATCCAAATGCATCTCTTAGAAAAAAGCAAGACCAAATTCATTATTTAGGCATTAAAAGCAAGATATAAGATTATAGAAAAATTTAGGCCCGATAAAACAAATTTTCTGGTTCTCACAAACAAACATGAATGAAAAATTCAGCCACTTTCTTACAGGATACAGGTACGAATCCACATTTCTAAATAGTATGCAAAAATCTGAATTTATTGAAATGGGAGTATGTTGGAACAATTGATCCTTTATAAGTAACTTTAAAAAGTAGCTTATATTAAATCACTGGATGAGGAAAGAACATTTCTTGTCTAATTGTCCATTATGGTTACTACAGGGAAATAAGTCACTTAAATGCATACAACATATTTTCCCCTAAAGTGCCATTATTCTGATAACAAGATAATGCCCTTGTGGGGAAAAGTTGATTTTTTTTCACAGAGAGAGACTATAGACAAGGGAAGAAATGAATTTGAATTTTCATGAAAAATTATCATCTTTGTTTGTAAATATTCAACAACAAAAATCTAGAATAATCAATAATTTAAGCAAGATCAGTATTTTTTTTTCTCAATGGTAATTCTTTATGGTAATATAATTCTCATCATTATCTGGATAGCCCCCCCCCCCCCTAAAAAAAAAATAATAAAAACAACCCGAAACATTGAAAAGTACAAATTAGCATTAAAAGTGATCTTAATAGACATTGGAGACCAATTTTCTGTCTAACAAACTAAAGCCATACAAAATAGTAGGTAGAAATAACCCTGCAGTCGTAAAATATAAACTTGGATGGAGAGTTGTCTCATTGGCACTCATACCACATCTTCTTATATCTATTTAAACACATCTCAATGATGTCTCCCTATTCAAGATAATGTCTAAAGGCCATAAAAAATTGAACAATCATTACTAAAGGTCTAAGCTATATTATAATTTATGGCAGACCATCATTATGAAGCACTATTACATGTAAATAAAAATATTTTATCTTTTCATTGAGATTCAAAATAGTAACAAAAAAAAATCATAAATTAATTGCAAAAATGTTCACTCTTTGTTCAGATTATGGTCATGTTTTTAATACGAAATATTGTTTTTTTTTTCTAAATAATAAAAAAAAACATGTCATAAAATCTGATTTGTATCACATACAGCATATTGAAAATATTATTATCATATTATCAAATTTTGCGCTTGGGGTAACAGACTCAGGTCAAATATTTTCACATCCTGAGATTTTTTTATATCTATATTATAGAGATAAATATATTTATCATACTAATTGCTTTACCATCAATATCCAATTAGCTCTGTTTCTACCCATCGTTATAACAATTATTCAATGACACCTGTTTTCCAATGCAATATATTTTCACATGAGATTCCAATATGAAAACCACATTTACACAGAGAACTGTTGAAAAGGAATAAACGATGATGTAAAAATGTAATAATTATAATGAACAGACTTTGTGCTGTCCCATATCATGTGAAATACATCGAGGTAGCAAACACTTACAGCTATATGAGAAAAAAAATCAGCGGCTCTTGTCACAAAAAATCTTACAAAAAATGCTAGTAAGTCATAACCATATTGGTTGAACTTACAATCAATTTTAGTCGTAACTTTTTACCTTGAAAAGAGCTACAGTTATTTTGCTAATAGAAAACAAAACAAACAGATCACAGTCATAAACTAAAATAAAATCCACCTGTTCGTATAAAATCTCTGACACGCTATCACTACAAATCCACATCCACATTGAGACAACAACTTTGGTGTATTACACACAACCTGTGGCGCCATCTCTAAATCCACAGTTTGTAATCCATCTGGATCACTTCAATGCTTGCTCACAGGCTGTTAATTAAAGGTTAAAATAAGAATCCTTGGCACCATGAGATCTACTTGAAGAAACATTACATGATAAATGGCGCTGTGTGTACGCCATGTCTCACGTAGTATTAAGTTGCATGTGAGATATGGAGAATGTTTCTAGAACTCGCTCAATGTAAACTCGTATCCAAATATTCTTTCTAGATAACACTACTAAATAGAACACTGGTCTAGCTTCCATTACTGTTACGATGTTCCAAAGGAGGTTTAAAATTTTCGGTGCTTGGACTGTTTGTTAAAGCACCGTAAATCTTGAAACCTTTGCTGGTCATATTTGACATAATTTGTAGAGAAGTTTTATGTCCATTAATGATTTCATCCTTCCACTGAGTGATTAGCACCTTATCCTGGAAAAGAAGAAATATGTTTGTAAAAATATACAGAAGATGCAGTTTACCAGTTGACCATGTGAAACATTTGTCATCCTATAAGTATTTGTGAGAATATATGAGCTGCATCGGATAGAAATCGACCTTATGCAATTGCACATATACCTGTACATGTTTAAGACTTTGATTGATTTTGGAACATTCAAATACGAAATGAAAGATGATTTTTGGTCTGTTTTGTAGGGTTGTCTTTACAACTCAATTTTCAAAGAGTTATAGACTTTGCATAGAGATTTTTTCAACCCCGAAATAGGATAACAGATGTATTGATATTCATTTGCATACAGTCGATTTCTATCCGACACAGCTCATATGTTGCCAGTTTAGTTTCCTGTCAAAGGTCAGTGGTTTACTTAAAACATTTCTGTATCTTTGACCCCTTAAACTGTCAGTAATAAAATTTGTATAAACCTTGAAGCCTTTTAAGCAAACAAATAATAGACACATAACAACATGCTAGGGGGCTTCTTGACGTTGCAGTACAGCCACAACACTAACAGTAAAACTCTTGCCTTCGAATTATAATAGATTCTCAAGAGTTTCAACCCATTGTTGTTTCAATATACTGTGGATTCATTATTATTCGTTGGACACCAATTTTCGTGGAATTAGTGGGTGTAGGTGAACCACAAATTTAAATGTTCTACAAATTACAAATTTTATATATGCTGGTATGCAGATTTTGATAAACCACAAAATCAAATATACACGAACATGTAACTTTTCCTCAATCCACGAAAATTGATACACACGAAAATAAATGGATCCACAGTATGTAATTTAATTTCCCATAAGCTAGTTTTCTTCCTGTACCACATTATTATCATCATAACATTACGCATATCTCTTTTACTTAATTATGTTTTTAGATCTGTGCTTCCATCTGCTCGCCCCTCCTTTAATTGTCTTGTTTTAGGTAAATTTTTGGTCAACTTGAAACTTACTCATGTTCATTTTGATGTCAATTTTCAAAAATATATGTCAACACAATATCAAAACCAGCGTATTACATAATCAACCACTAAATTAAGTGAGATACTATGTTTCTCTACTCAAAACAGTTACAACAGAAATCAACTACCTCTTAATTGGTTTGTTTTTCCCAAAAACATGCTAAGAACATTTAGAATGAATTCTAAAAGCTACCACTGTTAAATTCATTGAGACTTAGTGCAATTTAATGCTTGGTATTAATAGAAAACACATAATGTCTAATAGATGTCTCTTTTGTCAGCAAATAGGCAAATTAAATGCATAAATTACAGGTAATCAGCACATTTTATAAACTATGATCCCCCTTCTACTTAATAGAACCTTTGGGAGTTAGTGTACTTACTGGTGATGTTATAATTAGTTTGGTGTCAGTTTTCAGGACTATCACAATACAATTTTCAGTCTTGTTAAACTTTTGGAAATCTGGATATATTTCTTTGATATCTAACATTGATACGAGCTGAAAGAATATGAAATAGTATTTGGTGAAAAATGAACACATATTAGATTGAGAAAATACCATCATAGGTAATGACAAGAATGTATACCTATAAGAGCTCAGAAATCCATCTTTAGGCTTATTCATATTCATATTATTATCAGTCGTTGTATCTAGTCAATTTTTGTGTCCTTTCTGGGGTTTGGTCTTGACTGCAAATCTTTGATATAGGCTCTGTTAAATCTATACACAACTTTTCTAGACTTGAGTTTTAAAAAATGAAAATATACATTATAAATTTCATGCGTCTGAAGCGCTTTTCTGGATTTACCTTCATTAGGAACGCTCATAGCCGAATATTTTAAAGCCAAGGATGTATAGGAACTGAAACAGTTGAAGAGCTATATAACAAAAAGGACCTAAAAAATTAGCCAAATCCATCTAAGGTCAACTTTGCCTGAGGGAGTTGAAATCTTAGTTCTTTCTAGACTTGAGTTTCAGAGTTTTTTGACATAATGTATAGATACAAATTTCTTGTTGACCTGTAGATGTCTTTTATTTTTGTTTTCATTGGGTTGCCATCTCATTTAATAGTGTACTTTAATTCATATATAAACCAGAAGTTATGTGAGCAAAGGTAAACAAATAATACTCTCTACTCTAAATAAAGCAATGGCTAAGTCCACGCTTGGATAGGGAAATACTAAAATTGATTCTGATCAAAAAACAAAATAGATGCACAACACCATTATATTGTTAAGAGTGTGAGAAAATTTCAATAATGGCAAAGGCCATTCTTTGGAAATGGAAACCAAAAAAACGATTCCAACGAGGAAATGAAATAAGAGGTAAATTATACATCATGGGAGTAAGATTAGTGAAAGGTTGGATAGAAGGATGAATGAACAGACAGATTGACTTACTTCCCCATCACTATATACTGCCCCCTTTAGAAAGTTGGGGTATAACAATCTAATATTATTATTACCTCTACACCTTTACCATAGACTATCTGTCCATCTCTATTTTTATGATAAAATTCTAAACGGTTTGGATATAGCTTTAAATGTTTCTTCTGCCAGGCTTGAAGAAATGGTCCACCTAATTTCAATACTTCACCTTCCACTATACAATCTGTTGGTCCTGAAATATAAAGAAATATTATATATAATAACAATATTCATGAATATTCATTAATCAATCACAAAAATAAAATTCATAGTTACTTAATTCAGTTGTAAAAAAAAGATGTAAAATTTCATCCCGCCTTAGCAGGCGAAATATTTTTTTCTGCGGACAGCTGCAGTCACAGGTTCTCAGTTCTTGGGTTAATCTTCAAATGCATAGGTGTTCCTGTAAAAGCTGGTTAAAGCCTCCTTTTTGAAACTATTTCAAGGTCTGATTCTGTCAGATTCATCATTTGATACTTTTAAATTTCCAACATAAGATTTTGATCCCCACAGAAAAATGCTTGTGTTTTGTGTGTTACAAAAGTAGATTAACCATGTCAGCATTTCTGTCTGTCAGTCTTCATTAGAGACTATAGTGTGTTTTGTTTTTATGTTTAATTGCATATAAGGCATTATATTAAAGTGGCAAATTTTCAAACCTCCACAAAAGGGAAAGCTTTCATATGAATATAATTGCTTCAATTGAAGCTATAATAAAATGCTTCGCTAAGCACAGCCTGATACTACCACAAAGGTCGAACCCTGAACAGTTGGGTAAATTTGGACACAATATTCAAGCTTAATACTGTCTGAATTTGGATTGTGATCAAATTTTGACATAATAAAGGTTTCTGACACAAAATAAATGTGGTCAAAGATCTTACAAATCTATTGTGAAATACTATGCAATTGCAGATTTCTTCTTGAAACTTTTCAAAAATTTGAAATTTGAAAAATTTTGAAAAAAAAATATGAACCCCTTAAAAAAATTGGAAAAAAATCTCCTCCCCAAACTTTTTGAATTCCCCCTTGGAGCAATTACCCCTAAACTCAATCCCAGACTTTCCTTTGTAGTATGGAACCTTGTAGTACAATTTCAGAGAGATCCATACACTTAAACACAAGTTATTATCTGGAAACTAAAAAAAATGCTTATTTTTGGCCCTTTTTTCGCCCCCAATTCCTGCATGTTTGGGGCAATTACCCCCAAACTCAATCCCAGCCTTCCCTTTGTGATATGAAACCTTGTGGTACAATGTCAGAGAGATCCATACACTTACACGCAAGTTTTTGTCCGGAAACTATAAAAGTGCTTGTTTTAGGCCCCTTTTTGGCCCTTAATTCCTAAACTGTTGGCACCATAAACACCAAAATGAATCCCAACCTTCTACTTGTGGTAATAAACATTGTGGTACAATTTCAGAGCAATCAAGATACTTATACACAAGTTATTATCCTGAAACTAGAAAAATGCCTGTTTTGGGCTCCTAATTCCTAAACGGTTGGAACCATCATTCCCAAAATCAATCCCAACCTTCCTTTTGTGGTATTGAACCTTCTTGAAAAATTTCATAGATATCCATTCACTTAAACTAAAGTAATTGTCTGGAAACCAAATGTGTCTTCGGACGGCGACGCAGACGACAACGACATCATACCATTATACGATCACAAAGATTTTTTTGCGGTCGTATAAAAATCATACTAACATTTTTCCAATTCAAAGTGAATTTCAATTTTTTTAAAACTTAACATTTTCTTTATCTACACCTCAACAATCTTCATGCAAAAAGAAAGAAACCTTCAATAAATAACTTGGAACTTAATTTCATTTACTACCTCTTTTGGATTATGTGGGGTCTCAGTGGTAAGAGTGGTCTAAGTAATTCACCTACAGTGATCATTAGCCCATTCATTCTGAGGTTGTGATTTTGAACACAGCTCAATGTGAGGTGTGTTCCACTCCTATCTTAATTGAGAAGGATTGCCAATTTTCCTGCCAAAGGTCAGTGGTTCCCTACAGGTACTCTGGCTTCCTCCTCACTGAATATGAAGCTTAACAGCACCCCAAAACATATCGGATTACACAAAAATATCTTACCATCTTGCTGGTAGTAAGAAGAATCTGACCCTGGTTTTTGTTTACGTTTTAATTCTAGTTTATCGGTATCAGCGTTAATTGCATCAAATACAGTCTCAGCTACTTCCTGTTGCCATCGTTCTGATACCAACAATGGAAAATTTCGGTACAAATCCTGATCTGACTCGGTTAACTGAAAAATAAATTATAAATAGCCTGTTTACTGACATGAAAAGATTTTATAATCCCTTCAGTACCTTATATATCAAAGGGATGGTATTGTAAGTCAGATGATAGTTAAAGTTATGGTATAAAAGCATAATTCAATCTTATTCCAGGGTTGACTGCAGTTTAGAAATATTGAACTTCTGGTATGGAATGTATAAATACCAAGTAATTTCGGATCTGAATGTGGACGTTAAATTTGCTGCCCCATATATAAGACTGTGCTACATTCTATGCATGTTAAATAACATTCCAACATCTCTTTGAGGGGTCTGTAGGTGGCCTCTTGCAAGCCCTTATCCTACTTCCCCCTTTTTCCCTGTTGTCTCCCAGTTAACCCACTTTTCCAACTACCTATTGGATTTATTGTTAATAAGTTCTTGTTCTGAATATGCATGAAATATCTGCCACTGGATATGAAGCAAACAGCAATCAATCATTATCTAATCTGAGTGTAGTTGACTCAGCATAGAGATTATCTTTACAACTGACTACTAGATGGAATACTCCCAAGTAGTTATGAAAATAAACTACCCTGCATAACAAAAAAGAAATAAAATACCGGTTTTTAACATTATACGATTAATTACTCTTGTGTTTACCTTTATGCCCTTGGTATCCTCTTCGTCAAATGAACCAATATCAAAAGCATCAGCTGCATTAACTTCTCCTCTTGGAGGTATCAATGGGGGCTGATATTTTTGTAAATACACCTGAGTCCAATCTATTCCACGGAAAAATGGATGTTCTTTAACTTCAATAGCTCTGAAAAAATTAGAAAAAAATTTATTAAAAATTGTTTAGTATGCTGAATGATAAAGTACACTTTAGAAGTTTGGTTTTTGGGTTGATGTTTCAAACTGCATCTCCTTTTATGTCATAGAGCTAACACAGCCATTCTTTTATTTACAAAGTAGCATATTTGTCACAGTTACAGGGTAAACAATAATGATCTTCCATTCTAATTCGCACACTAAGAAAATATATAATCTGACATGAGAAGCCTATATGACAAAATTCAGTGCAAAAAGCCTGTTCAAACTACTTATCACAGTTGATAAGAGCTTGTATTGGGTCTCATTTAATTAAAGTCCTCAAAATAATTTTGAAAGGTTACCGTATTTATCTGTAGAGGTAAAAATTATGATTGTTTTTTATATCCATAATTTTGGATTTCCTGACATCATAATGGCATTATAATGCAGTTACTTTTGACAAATTGTATCAAATTTGTCCATAAAAGGCCAATTTTAAGGTTGTTTATCATAAAATCTAATGTCATCAAAAGCTTTTAGAGAGCTGTTTTTATTGTCAATGAAAGACATCAATGTAAACAAGATGAAAAAAAAAAATCCACCTAAGCAAAAATCTATAAACATTATACCTTAAACAACATTAAAATAACAGTAAATTGTGAATGTCCTACAAATACAAATACTATGAGACCAAAGATATTGACATGTTATTGTTGTTGATAGATGTTTGAAGTCCATATCTTCCAACAGTTTGAGAAATAGTTTGTTGAGAAATGAAAATATTTGATATTATTGAATCTGGCATCATGTTACATCTAATACAGATGAGCCATTTTATCATTTAAAACTTGTAGTTTACAATAAAGTGTCTTTTGGAAAATGTTTTGTTCTCTTATTGCACATCTTCTAATCCCCCCAAAAAATTCTGGTTAATGATTAACGTGAAAATACTTTTATTCTTATCTTATGTTGAGTTTGGAAGTTTAAAATTATTCAAACATTTTTATTGTTGTAAAATTCAGTTGTTGAATTCGGAAATATAACTTCATCTGAGAAAACTGTCATTTTTATAACTTATTTCTGAAATGTAGCAAATCTTTAGCTTCTTTCTCAATAATTCATCAAAGTTGTTCTCTATATATACTTCATCCTTTTATCTTTTTCTAAGACTTTGCTATACATACCCTCTGCCCATGCAGCCAACTCGATCTTCCACATTTCTACATAATAAAGCTTCTAATAATGTTTTCATTTCTTGAGACATGGAATCTGGTAACTCAACGTTCTGAAAAAAAATAGAAACAAAATTTGGTTCAATTCATTATACGACATATGATAATGATGTGCTTAATACTACAATGTATGGTGCTGAAAGAAAAGTAATTTTTTCCAGTTAAGGAAAGAAAAAACTTAACCTGCTCTTTCATTTTGCAATGTTTCTTTTTGTGGTCATAGATAGTTGTGTACATATGTTACTACCTTCTGGCAAGGGAGCAGTTCTTCCTATTTAACCTATTTGTTCATTCGGAAGGCACTATCCTGATCATGTTTGTTAAAAAATATTCCAAATCAATCTTAAGTATTTTGCCCTTTTGGGGGGTAACTATAAAATAATCTTACCATTGTCATGGTCATTCGGTCTATTTCATGTTTGTCTTTGGTCCGATGTTGCCTAAATGGACTGTGTCTATAAGAGAAAAAATACTTAATTCATTCATAAATCTAAAAGCTATGCATGGCTAAGTTTTTGCTTTTACAATGATTAATTATTTTCCAAGCAATACATATAAAATATAAAAGCACCACGAATAGGCAAATTGCAATCTATATGGATTTGTAGTAGAAGTCAAACCCATTTTTGAGTCTGGTACTAACTTTTCTATGACAGAGATAAAAAGAAAATGCTCCTAATATCTTATTATATGTAATTGTAGAAAATATTGATAAAGATTCCTGAAAAAAATTAACAAATATGATATTTTTGATGATTTTTATCAACATATTTTTGTTTGAACCTAACATTCTTTTACTACCTTTAAGTAAGTATAAGTGCAGTTTAAGCACTGATTACTTGGTCTATGATTAATACATGTATATGTTGGTGTACTTGGAGTCTCTTTACATAAACTGTTTGTAAAAGTTATCTCCCATTTAAGGAGGTATTCTTTGAAATGTTATACATGTAACAAAGGTAGAGGTGTTGAGGCCTTTGGGTCAAAAATAATATTTGATTTCAAAATCATGTGTTTTGCGTTAAAATAAGTGACAGGTATCTTCAAGGCAAATTTCAAAGCTATAAAATAATGTGGGCAGGAAACTTTACTCACATGAAAATTATAAGCTGTTTGTACAAAAACTTCTCTTAATACCAAAATGTTTTTACATGTACTTCTAAGAAAAAACTTAAAAGGTCTTTTCTATGATGTCATAACTATTGTTTTTCGTTAAATCATAAATCCTAATCTACTTGTTTATTTAGTCTTGTATTACCTACATTTTAAAGTGGTCACAAACAAAAATCAAAATACCCAAGTACAAATTACACTGAAAGATTAGGATAAGCAACCCACTCCTTTTTGTTGTTAAAGGAATCTACAAGATCTTTGATCCTTAGAACAACATGTATTCTAACATGTATATTATGCCAAAGAAAAAAAAGTTTGTACAAAAATGAAAAATACCCACCATTTGTCATAGAAACTTAAAAAACAAGTGTAAGCTCCCTAGCAAGATAACTCTTGCAGGGGTTCAAATTAATGAAGGGTCGATGTCCATGACCTTTAAATATCAAAGATGGACCTTTTACTTGGACTTCCCGTTCCTAAGAGTAATTTTTAACAACTGACCTTTCATTTTTCAAAGGTAGACCTTATTGAAAATATATAAAAAGTCTTGGAAATTTGACCTTTGAAATTTTTTTGAACCCGTGTTTTGCATATAATTATTATATTTTGACTATAAGTCTGAATTTCACTTAAAATTGATTGATTGATTGTTGGTTCACCGTTGGTTAATGTCCAGTGGCAAATATTTCATGCATGTTTAAGACGACTCGCTTATAGTATAATAGTGTATATGCTCTAGATATTCTCTTAAATATCTCTGAATATTGTGAAGGATGCTTTTAAAACCATTTTAAAGCACAACATAGCCATAAGAAAGAAAATCCCCATAGATAAATTTTTTTAACAATGTATTGATTACAAACTTTAGAAATATAATCTGGAATGATAATATCAAAATCCTAAACAATCGATTACATTAAGCTTACTAATGGTGTATAAAGTATTTTATTAAACTCATGTTTCCAGAAAATCCAATTAAAATATCAGAAAGATAAAAACCCAATCAAAACAATGCTCCAATACAATTGAATGCTTTTGTTACATAATTTTAAGCAGATTAATTCAGCATCTCGGAAGTCAGGGTTTGGATGTCAAAAGCGAATCTAGCTATTAAATTTACAAAACATAATAACAATATTGATGAAGTTCTATAAAATTCAAAATCTAGCCATAAATCAAGAATCTGTGTCATTGCTTTACAACTAGGACAATTTATTTGATAAATTCCTTTTTTGCGGTAAAGTCCTCAAAGTTTCAGGAACTATTCAAAACAAATGAACTTTAAGATTCCTAACATTGCCTAGATGACAATACCCACATAAACTATATATGGCTTATATAATAATCGAACCAGTAAACAGTAGGTGATTACATCATCTACAAAAATAAACTCTTGACACAGATCTATGGCTCATCTGTGTGTACTTTCCATAGTACAAATGAACAGCACACTTTAGTCCCGCTTCCGCATCCAGTTGCAATCAATATACAAAAGAAGATGTGGTATGATTGCCAATGAGACAACTCTCCACAAGAGACCAAATGACACAGAAATTAACAACTATAGGTTACCGTACAGCCTTCAACAATGAGCAAAGCTCATACCGCACAGTCAGCTATAAAAGGCCCCGAAATGACAATGTAAAACAATTCAAACGAGTAAACTAACGGCCTAATTTATGTACAAAAAATGAACGAAAAACAAATATGTAACACATAAACAAACGACAACCACTGAATTACAGGCTCCTGACTTGGGACAGGCACATTACCAAACATCAAAATATATATTAATTCAAGTACACTAGAAGTGTTGGTCAGAGTTGCAAATTTTTTGTACAAGGCTATTTAACTATTCTCTAAATGCAAGCTTAAAATATGTTATGAGATTGCAAGTCTCTCCAACGTGCAGTAAAAAAAATGTACAGAAAAAAAGGAAGAAATTTGAATATTTCTGTTCTCTTTCAATTAAATAAAATGGTATAAAATATGTCCCCAAAGTAAATAAATACTTTTAAATATCTTCATTCTTGTAGAGTTAAATCAATTGGTATTTAACAAATAATTCATGACACAGTTTATGGACTGAGTAGTAGTCATCTCTTAAAAGATCCATAAACTGCCATATGTCATCAAAGTGATATTGATGTTTTTTTTTTTTATAATATGGATAACTTTAATTTATATTTCAGCATAATATTCAAATTGCACAAAACTATTTAAAAGTTATTAACAAGTGTAACCTCCTGGAAAGTATGAGAGTAAAAAAAAAAATTTCAAACACCATGAAATATTTCATGACAATTAGACAATTCTACTGAAATGAAATGTCAACATTCACCTACCCTTTTAATAATTTATACAGCATACAGCCAAAGGAAAACCAATCAGCACTGGAATCATATGGAGTACCTTTGGATAAAACTTCTGGAGCCATGTATCCATGTGTACCTCTGTAATGTAATAAAACATTCTGTTACTAAAATTATTCATAGAAATTGTACCTTTACAGTAGAAACCACTCATGTGTTAACATTTGAGCAATTTATTCAGTTAGTAACAATACATTTTAAAGATCAGGCAACTATTTAATACAAATTGCCCTGGTAGAATTTAGGCAAATCTAAATTTACCATTAACAGACTGTTCCCCCAAAACAATTTTGTTTTTCAACCACTTAGCATTTAAATAGTTTCTGTCACATTCTTCATAGAATTGACAACTTGCATGAAAGTATGTCAACATGGATGTATGAATGGATGTTGAATGTCCAGTAGGAATTAGGGAATTATGACATGTATTTTCAGTAGGAGAACATGTTAATGTGCTATGAATATGAACCCTGCTTTGTACTAGACTAAGATAACAATAGCAGCTTGAAGACATGTCACTCTAACTGACACATTATTTCAACTTGTTAAAGCCAATCAGTTTTTCTCTTACTCTTAAATGCCCTTCTGTAGTGGAAAAGCAGAAAATACCAATTTTAAAGTTTTTGGTTTGACCTGTGATTATAACAATTTCATGAAATTCTACATACAAATAAGGTTATCAGAGTTTATAGAGCCAGTTTTTATATTTGCGAAACCTATCCCGTCACAATGTTTGCAATATTAAAAACATCGCAAAAATTTACAGTATTCTATACAGATGGACAAATTCTAGTAGTAACTACACCTATCACCTTTGGCAATGCAGGCGAAAATATAAGTAGTTCGTTTAAAACGTTGCTAGGGTGGATATCAGGTAAATCTAATGAATGAATCTGTGTTTTCATCTGAACAATATTGATAAAATTGAGAATGGAAATGGGGAATGTGTCAAAGAGACAACAACCCGACCAAAGAGCAGAAAACAGCCCAAGGCCACCAATGGTGATATTTGAAACAGCTCTAGATAAAAATTTAAATGGAATTGACAACCAGCAAAACAATTGTTGGACACATGTACGGTTTACACATTAAACTTTATATAACCATCATACACAAATATATCATGCTCAGAGGTATCTCTGCTAAAGTTTATATAACATGAATGGAAAAAGAAATACTTTATTTTATAAACAAACTAACGTCACAAATATTTCAATAGTCTACATTGTTATTATTTTCAAACGTCATCTCTCATAGGTGTTAATTCTGAGTTAGACAAACTAATCATATTATCACAATATCAACAATATGTTTTGTTTATAAGGGATGAATGCAAAACTACGTCACATGGTAAAGCATGTTCCATATTAAGACTGATTATAAATTTCAGGAAGCTCTAGTTATTAGTTTCTCAGAAAAATGTGACGGAATTTCATGTATTGAATACTTAAACAATTGTTTATCAATACTAAACCATCTCAATAAAAGAGGAACAAATGACATGTTGTAAATTCTTGACAGTGGAATAAACTGTACTTACACACTTGCATGAGGTTTTTTCTTGGAAAAATCACAAGCCAGACCTAGATCTGATATTCGTACATGACCATTTTCATCAAGTAATATATTAGCAGGCTGAAACAAAAAAATACAATTCAAATCAATCCATACTGATGACAAATGATATAAAAATTGTAAAATGAAATTGTTCTGTACAAAAATCAGAGTGTCAATTTTCTCGTTTGATTGTTTTATATTTGTCATGTTTGTCATGACTGGCCTTGAATAGCTTAATATGTGGTATGGGTTTGCTAATTGTTGAAGGCTTTACATTGACATATAGTTGCTAACTTCTACGTCTTTTGGTCTCTTGTGAAAAGTTGTCTCATTGGTAACCATATCACAGCTTCTTATTTTTATTTAGAACTTGGACCTGAAAATTTAAGTTACCACAAATTTCAAAAGTAGTAAAATTTTTTGTAATTCTATGAATTTATCCTTTTAAAAGAAAAAAAAATTGAATGAATCTGGACTCACAAATCAAGTTTCAGGTTTAAATGTGGAACATATATACTTGATCATGGTTCAACGTTTTGTTTTTCTTTCATTTCACATTGACCGTTTTTGTTAAGAAGACACAAAAAAGTCCTACCTAAATCCCTGATATGATATATGCAACTTTAACGTTAATAAATTTTAGTCAGTATACAAAGTTAGACTAAATGTGAGTCATGTGAATTGTTCCAGATGTTATTGTCTCACATGCTTTTTGTAGGTAAAACTTTATCTGTCTATCGTGTCATTTATCAGCCCAGGGAAACAAGTAGTTGCTTATATTTATTTAATCAATTTCCATTATGTAGTTCTAAAGTTCCACATGGTCAGAGAAAACAGTTTACGTAAATAAAATTCTAAGATAAACCATTTTAGTAGTATATAGTCTTTGAGATAAACAGACTTTGCTCAAGTGCTAAAGAGTCGATATCCTACTTTGGAATCTTGGAAAAACTGTTTTCACCTGGATATGACCTTATCTGTAATACCTGTTTGGTAATTACTCCTAATCCGAAGATTTATTCAAAGTAACAAGATATAATTGTCTATAATCATGCAATTTTTATTTCTCACAGAGATATAGCCACATGAAATAAAAGTATCAATCAACGATATAATTCCGTCATATCTGGTAATGACTCATAATATTATGTTAAATGAATGGGAGTTTTCAGTTTCCAAATTTCAGAAATGACCTTAAGAAATGGGATACAGCAATGAATTTATTGATATGAAAGGATTGAACTAAGCTTGAGTAATTGTGTACAAAAAGGTAAACTATCGACTTTCCAGGCTATTTTAACAGATGACAAACTCTTCCAGCATATTTTATATAAAAGTGTCCAACAAAAATGAAATTCATAGCAAAGTTCAGCAAGAAAGAGTACATTATCTGATATAAACCACTAAAAATTGGTATATATCTAATCTTCTGTCAAAGGTTTGCCAAAGAGCCAGGGGCACTAAATTTTCAGTAAATAAAAATTCACGGCTATTTTCAGTGGGGTTTGTGTTGCTGAGTCTTTGGTTTTCTGTATTGTGCTTTGTATACTGTTTATCTTTTGGTCTTTTTTTTTTTTTTTTGCCAAGATATTGTAAGTTTTTTACTGACTTATAAGTTTGAATGTCCTTTTGGTATCTTTCACCTCTGTCGTGGAATTTTTTTTTATTTGTTTTTGTTTTGTCTTAATTTGTTGTTTCAAACTTAACACATTTTATATTAATAGAAAATGTATTAGAATTTGTGGTTTCACTAAAGAATTGAATGCTTGCTTTGTAGTTTTACTGGGGTGTAAAGGCATCGATCAAAGCAAATATTGTATTCCGCACTATTAAAAAATGTATTCAAGGTCAACGCCTTTACAACCTTTCATTAACCTACAAAACAAGCACTCTATTCTAATAATTATACTCTTATAAATGAGTAAAAAAGGGAAATTACTAGTATGTTTATTTTGTTTTTAATATTCCTATGCATTTCTGTGCCATTGTCAAGGAGAGCATATGATGTCATTGATGTAACATTTAATTGGGAAATAAAACATCACTTTAAAACATCCATAAAACTGGTACTCAATATAGTGATTACATTTTATTGGAAATTCAATTATATATGGAATTGTATAATATCACAAGTATAAAAGGGGACATTGTTGTTCATTTTAGCCACCTGTGGTCAACTTCTACATATTCCTTACAGGACAATGCAACATCAAATTTTTCATGGACATTTTTTCAAGATCTGTCATTAAAGATCTTATTTTTAAAATGCATGTGCTTTAATTTACACACAGTAATTTCTTTAAACAAAAAGGTTGTTTTCTATGTACTTGTCTGTAGGATTTTAAGCACATGATGGCCTAATGCTTCTCTTATACAAGTTATAAGTATTTTTAATCTAATATACTCTGTTCTGAATTAGTAAATAAGTACTTAAACACTAGTTTTGACTCCTTGTATATATTTTAAGAGGTATTCAGTTTATATGATAAAGAAATCCAAGAGTCGTACAACACCTATCACGGGGAAAATCCCCAGCACATCGGGAAAATTAGCTGAACTGTTTCTAAATGACAAGATGCAGGACTGAGGTGATTTTGAAACTAAAAAAGATCTGGCTGACAACCTAAAATATTAGTATCTCACAGTATCTCAAAATCTTCCATAAGCAACAAAACTGTTTATTGGTTTATTTTTTGCATGGTTTAAATTTTTGCGATTGCAAATGCAAATTGTTTCTTAATTTTCTTTTCCCTGATTGTGATCCTCCTTAAAAATTAGAGTTAAGAAACTGATTTTTTTTGCATTTTTATGCTTTCTCGCTTTTCTTTTGAAATTTTTTGAATATAAATTACCTTTAAATCTCTATAGACAACATATCTATTATGCATGTGTTCTAATCCCAGAATAACTTCTGCTGCATAAAACCTGACTTCCCTCTCTGAAAATACTCCATGCTGAGACAGATGATAGTGTAGATCCCCTCCATTCATTAAGTCCAAGATGAAACATAATTTTTCTGGAGTTTGAAAAGCGTAAGTCATACACACTATGAATGGGCTGCCTTCTTGCTGAGAAAGAAAAGAAAAAAGAAAAAGAAATCAATTAATCAGATATGGTTGTTGTCTCTTTGACACATTCCCCATTTCCATTCTCAATTTTATATTAATTCAAACTATATATAAAGTAAACAAATATTATTTACAATTATTATAAATAATAAGTAGTTACTACTGTAATCACTAGCCAGTCAACACTGAGGTTGTGAGTTCGAACCCCGCTCGTGTGGGTGCACTCGACTCCAATCTTAATTGACTAGGATTGTCAGTTTTCCTATCGAAGGTCGTTGTTTTTTCCGGGCACTCCAGCTTCCTCCACCAATAAAAACTGGCCGCCATGAAATAGCCCAAAAGCGGTGCTTAAAAGTGGCGTTAAAACACCAAAAATAAAAAAATCAAATATTATAAATAATAAAGATATAAAACTTATTCATTAAGAACCAGTTTCTTTCCTAAATCTTCAGGTCTTCTGATAGTTTGGGTATCAAGTTTTATGTTAAAATTGTTTGATATCAGGCCAGTTTAAACCATAAATAAAAGAAGAATGTGTCTGAGGATACGAATGCCCCACTCAAGCTTGCTTTTCAAACGAAAATGGGACGGATGGATAGAGGGAAGAACGGAAAGACTGAAAGTCAAGAATAACACTAATGCCCCCTTGTCCTTGCGGCGGGGGCATAATTAAAAACAATATATCAAAATGTATATGTAAATCAAACTAGCTATAAAAAAGTGGGTTGAAAACTTGTTCTCATTAATCCTTTGATTTCTCTCAACTTCATGCCTGTACTTTTTGTTAAATTGTTTAGTGTTTGAATCTTGCAACAATGACATTAACATTGCCTTAGCAGTTTTTTAGATAACTAAGACAATCTAACATAATTCAAACAGATGTGAAATTTCCTATGATGCAACAAATTTTAACTTTATAAAATCCTGGAAATACCAAGTAGATTTATTTCACTTTACAAATTTTAAATTTTCAGGAACATGTCTACGTTCTAATGCTCAACTAAAAGGAATTTGCAGTGATTATTTTCACACTGCTTAAAATATGACTGAAATCTGCAAAATAAGTGTTTCCTATGGATATGATCTTGACAATAATTAGCTGCTATGGTAACACATGATAATGCCTCTGTTCTAAAAACAAACTCATTACAGTGTAAATGACAGCAGCATTCTTCTTTATTTAAAACATTTTTATTTTGATTTGCAGTGTTGTACAAGTATATAGAGTTCACTGTCCTTATAGAGCCAAACATGTATGATAATGAAATAGCTTATACAGTCAAACCTGTAAATAATGGTCACTTTCAAGACCAAAGAAAACTTATCTTATAAGAGAGGTGACCTTTAAATTGAGGTTCAAAATTCATAGGACTAAGGTATTACTACAACGGGACAAAAGAGGGTGACCATACAAGATAGGTATTCGGTTAAAAGAGGTCACTTTTATAGCAGCGGTTTGACAATATCTTAAAATTACTCACCGGCACTTATCTCAATATTTATTTGTGGTTTTGTTTGTTCTATTTGTTTGTTTTTTATGGTTTGTTCAACAACAGTCCCAGGTTAAAAAAAAAAAATAATTCAAAAGACTGAACATCAACTAATCTTCTAAATATTTTTGTTCTTCTCTTTTTCAATAGGTGACTGGAGCAGTCTTAAATCTCATTCTACCTACAAAGACTAATAAGCTGAACAATACAAAATGCATGATTCTCTTTTTAAGGTCCCTATGGATATCTTGAAATGTTTCCTCAATCTACTTTTTCTAAATTGCCATTATCGATACTATGCGGAATGAATACTTTTGTTTTCCTCTGTGGCATGATAAAATCAATCATGGTTAAGATGGATTTTACTAGTGACAATACAATTCATCATTTTGTCAGATTTACCAGTTACCAGATAGTGTTCAAAGGTATACATATTAATAAAACTTTATTCAATAAAAAAATTGCCTAAGCTGCTATTTATGGTGATAGAATCTAATTTGTTTAGAGATTATTTTCCTGAGAATGAAGGACAAGTGTAAATTTTCAAGGCACCAATTATCAATGATTTTATTTAAAACAACATCTCCAAACTTTGGATGTTACTGGTTTTATAGAATATTACACAACTAGAGGATGGCATGTTTACCTTTGAATGTTATGCTGTAAATTAGAAATTTTTATGTGTGTCTATTTTTAGTGGTAGACATTTTAACGCAAATTCAAGCGGTAAGGGGAACATTTCACGGTTCATTTAAATGCATTGTACAAGGCCATGAGATGTGAATAATGAACACAGTAAAGATTTAACTGCCCTATCTAACCCAAACGACAAACAAAACCTAATGTCAAAAAACCTTATGTTCAGTATTTACTGAGGCCGAAGGCTGAGGTATATATAACATTCTGAACAATAAACATTGCATCCACTGAATATAAAATCATGTATTGTTCCAAAATGTTCTCTATAATCCTCCTTCAATGTAAAATTAACAAATTTTATGGAAATCTACTGGAAAATATTTTATTAATAATTTTATGTCTCTAAATAAAGAACAAAGAGTTAAGAAATGCTACCCCTTCTACCATGGAACTTGTATAAGGTATTGGCTTCTTTTTACAACAGTCATTAGAAATGAGGGCAGAGGTCTTATAAGTTTTCATGTACATTTATTCATTTATTACCAATAGCAATATTTTTTGTTTGTTATATTTTGTTTCTATTCCTTGTCATAATAATTTGTTTATTTCTTAATGATTTTCACCATGCCCAGCTGAGCCATCCAACATTTTCCGGGAAATTCCCTGATCTGACATTGTGACACGTCTTAGAATGTTATATACATAATTTGCAACTTCACATAAGGTGAATATGATTTATAAAGAAGTTAGTTCTTGACCCCAGACAATCAGTGGAAACAAAAGTATTGTGCAGTCTAGAAATTTAACAGAGGTCATCAGATCTGCTATCGACATCTAACATACAGGTCAGTTCTCAATAACCAGCTAAATCTAGTAACGTCAGATTTGTGGAGGAAAAAGGAATTTCAACGGTGAAATAGCCAACAGCTCTATCATAAAAATATAAAAAGAGGCAAAAGATACCAAAGTGGCATTTAAATTCAGTCAAAAAGGACCTGACAATGCCATGGGGAAAAATAATATAAAACTTGGTCATTTTCTTTGTCATCCAGTCCATACAATTTCTATCAGTAAAAGTAGCTGTCCCTCTTTTCTATTGAAATGTTGAATGGATCATATATCCAGATTACTACTCAATTCAAACTTAAATTGCATAAAACTCCAAAATAGTCCTAATAAATGATTCAATGAATATTGATAGGCCATTACATTACATTCCAATATTGTCCACTAATGAGCTTACAACTCTTATATATCGTTATTGATCATAAGGTCAGAAAAGGTCCTTGAAAAAAATGACAATTATAACATTTTATATCACAAACATGATACGTTAAGCTCGATTTAGGATTTATAACACTGGTACATGTGTTACTTTGACGTCAAACTACTAAATTTAGTCAAACTCTTTATCTCCATTGGGAGAATAGCTTCAGATTTAATTATCTCTATTTAAACTAAAAATCTTTATTCGGACAGAGTTTGGCTGACTGCTATTTGTTTTGTTTACATTTGATTATTGCAACATCAATTGTTTTTATCGTTGTTTAGAAAATTTTCATTTGCTTCTCCTGCGCTGATGTGTTTAATTATTAAGCATAATGTTGACAAAGTTAGTACATGTACCAGTATAAACTGGTTACAACAAAGATAGAAACAATTGGTACCAGTATAAACTGGTTACAACAAAGATAGAAACAATTGGTACCAGTATAAACTGGTTACAACAAAGATAGAAACAATTGGTACCAGTACTGGTACAAGATAATATCAATTGCTGTTTGATGTATAATTTTACAGATTGAAAATATCATCTTATGGTAATTTTCAAATGAGGTTAAAATGTGAAATTATCTTTCGATTTTCGATAAAATTAATTTTGTTTAATTTTTTCTACAGCAAAATTTGCAATAATCATATATTATAGAGAGATTTGCCTGCATCATTATTGCTAAGAAATTATCAGTTCCATTTGAAATTATAATTTGCCAGAGTGGATGCTATTCAATCAAACCATTTCTGATTTCAACAACAACCCATAAATGTAAAATTAATGGTAAACAAATAAAGTTACTTAAAAAAGGACAAATAGGTCATGAACAGAATTGTCATTATAAGAAATGGTTGATAAATATATTTGGTCAGCATGTACAAATAATGAATTGTACATTTAATTGGCAATAAAAATCGAATTAGGGGAATTAAGTTTGTCATGTGTAAACTAAGAGAAATTGATGAAACTGTACAAATATCACACAATTGTTTTCGTGGTTGAACAAAATATGTGGAATAATCTAAAATTTTCTTTTTTGATTACTGACAGCGAAATCCTGCATTACCTAGTTTAAATAAGTAAATACACATTTGTAATGTGTTTGAAATGCAAGTTTTGGAATCAGTTTATGAACTGGATTAAAATAAACAGCTGCGCCATAAGCGCATGATTCGCCCGTCATCTTGTGTGTGATTTTTTATGCAATAATCATAAATAGTTTCTGACATACAGCGTGACATGCAATAACCCCCTTTTTTTTTTACAAAAAACTCAATATCTCAAAAATAAAATTTTGAATCAAAACCAAAAAGTATACAGATCTTTAGATTAATATAACTAAGAAGTGTGTAAAATTTTAAGCAATAATCATAAATCGTTTTTGAGATACGGCGCGACATGTGAAAAGCCCCCCTTTTAAAAAAAAAAAAAATCAATATCTCAAAAATAAAATTTTGAATCAAAACCAAAAAGTATACAGATCTTTAGATTAATATAACTAAGAAGTGTGTAAAATTTTAAGCAATAATCATAAATCGTTTTTGAGATACGGCGCGACATGTGAAAAACCCATCCCCCTTTTTTTACAAAATACTCAA